CCACACACACACACACACACACACACACACACACACACACACACACACACACACACACACACACACACACACACACACACAAATATCGAAGTGTCTGTTGTTAGCGTTCAATTATACTAAATAAGTAAAGAATTTTATTGTTTTAGGTTAAAAGTAATTCAAATGCTTTATTGATGCAATGGGGTCAATTTTTAAGTCATGATCTGGCCAAGACAACAACTCAAAATAATCAAGAATGCGCATCATGTGAACCTAATTCGAAATGCACCAATGTTTTCTTATCAAGACATGATCCTATGTATAACTTTTCATCATTTCCATTATCGTAAATATTTTTGAAAATAAAATTGAAATATTACAATTTTAAATTTCTGTTTATATTTATCTCCTAAAATAATCCTAATAATGTTTATTTTCTTTTTTTGACTAGCATTGATGTCCTTTGATTTATCTGATAAGTTTAAATTTTTAATGATTTAGGATATTTCAATATTATCAAATAGAAAAATTCAATTTTTTGAAATGAATAAATTTATTTGCTTTAACTTTTTGCCATACATTAATTTATTAGAGTATAGTAATTTTTGAAATTATTTCATTTATACTAAAGAAGTTTTAGATTTGGTCGTTTTCAATGTTTACCGGTAGCTCGATCTTCTCCGGTATGTGGTTCCGGTGAATCATCTCCTCGTGAACAATACAACGAAAATTCAGCATATATTGATGGTTCAATGGTAAAATTGTTTATTATTTTTTTTAGCAATAATTAAAATGCAAATTTTTAAGTAGTATCATTTTAATATTAGACGTGTCACATTTTTCTTAGATTTATGGTTCATCCGATTTGGATCAATTCATGTTCCGGCAAGGAAGTTTCATGAAGACACAAATGATTCGAAATCGTACTTTTCCAGCAATTGATAGCAATCAAAATATCATCACCGGTGATGATCGAGCAAATCTATTTGTTGGTTTGGCTGCTCTTCATGTTCTTTTTGTTCGAGAACATAATAGGTATCTTGGAATTATTCCATTATCACTTCTATGATATCTTTTGTTTACATTAATCTTAATGATAAACATTGAGTGCTTATATTTTACAATAATATAAAATATAAAAGATTTTGTTGAAATTGTAAAAAATATTATTATAAAAATTTCAAGCTACAAAATAATCCTCAATTTAATAATTAATTAATTAATCATCAGTTCAGTTATAATCAATTAATTGTTTCTAAAAATCTAATTAAGAAAGAGAGCGAGCATTGTTAATGCTTTGGTATATTTGAGGATAGCATCAGTGTTGAAAGAATTAAATGAAAATTGGGATCACGATCTAATTTTTCAAGAAACACGACGAATTATTGGTGCTGCTATACAACGTATCACATATAAGGTTACAATAATCATTGTTACTCTTATCTGTATCTTATCATTGTTATTATTACCACAATGAGTTTATTGTCTTTATTTATTCATTAAAATGAGCAATAATATAATGATAAAATAATTGAGAATAGAATTGAAATTCTAGTATCAAATAAAGATTATGCCATGAAATTAAATAAGTTATTGGTATAATTTGTAGGAATATTTGCCTCGTATATTAGGGAGTAAATTTAATGAATTAATTGGTAATTACGAAGGTTATGATGAAAATGTGGATGCAACTATCAGTAATGAATTTACTGGATGTGCTTTTCGATTTGGACATGGGATGATACAGGTTTGAATGTTTCCTATTTGTTAGATGCAACAGCAATTGATTATCATAATAAAATTATAATCCTTTTTTAAATCAAGAAAATGATAAAGCAAAAAAGGAAAAAGATTGTTAAGCAAGAAATAACTATATCAATTATCTCTTATCAGTAGCTAATTATCTATCCTTCTGTTAAACAAAATATTGAAGAAATTTTTTAAAGAAAAGAAAACCATTTTAATTAAAGATTAGAAATTTATTTTAATTAATTAAATTAGAAATTATTAAAGTAATATTGATTTTGACAGTTTTTGTATTATACATTTTATTTCTTCTAAAGAATCAATTCCTTTTTTTTGAAGGAATTTTATCCATTTCTTGATGAGAATTTTCATCGTATCGGTGGCATATCATTTATTGATGGTATGTTCAAAACAATCCATCTATTTGCGCATGGAATTGATCCAATTATTCGTGGTCTGATAAGTTTACCAGCAAAAATGCCACAAAGGTATTTTAGAAAAAAAATTATGCAAATTTCAAAATTTTTGCTAAAAAAAATTTTAGATATATTACTATGAATTTTCATGAATCTTTTAACTAGGATAATAATAGATAAATGGTATTTTAAATGAGGAAACGAAACAAATTAAAACGCTTTTTTTAATTAGTATTTAATTAATTAATTGCTTTACAATATAAATTAAGCTGATAGAATTTCATATAGGCTTACTCCAGCAGTAACTGAACGAATGTTTGGCAATTCTGATCTTGGTTCTATTAATATTCAACGTGGTCGTGATCATGGTATACCAGGATATATTGTTTGGCGGAGATTTTGTAAAATGCCAAAAGTGCGAACATTCCGTGATCTCAATACCACAATTAAAAATTCAATTTTACGTTCAAATTTAGAAATTTTATATGAACATGTTGGTAGGCATTATTTAAAATACTCGTAGAAATTTTAAAACAAAAATAAAAAATACATTGTAAATAATATTTGTCCACTTTTTACAAGTATGCAGCATAGCTAATAACATTTCAATGATAAACGTGAAATACGTGAGTATAACACGTAAGTATCACTTGCCAAATTAAATTTCATCTAAATAAAAAATTCAAAATCATTTGATTATTTCTTATAAAATACCTCATTTATAATATTCGATCATAAGTAAAGTTGAAAAATTTTATTGCAAAATTAATAAAAGATATTTTAAAATTTATTTAAATAAATCTATGAATTACAGAAAATATTGATTTATATGTTGGTGGCTTATTGGAGGATCCACTAGAAGATGCATTTGTTGGACCTACTCTAGCCTGTATCATCGCAGATCAATTCAAAAGATTACGAAATGGCGATAGGTAAGAAAGGAAATTTTCAAATTTCATCTAACTTTATAGCAAGTTTAAAGTTTCATTAACTAAAACAAAGCCAATATAATGTCTATTTCTTTTTTTAACTATTCAATTTCATCAAATAATTAACTAATCGTTAATTAATTTATCTTTTTTTTTATAGATTCTATTATGAAAATTCCGAAATTTTTACACCATTTCAAATTAAAGAAATTGAAAAATTGAGTCTTGCAAGAATAATCTGTGATTCTGGTGAAAATATTCGACAAATGCCATTAGAAGCATTTAATCAAAGTGAAATAAACGATCTGATACCATGCGATAGGATACCATCTCCTAATTGGAATCTTTGGAAAGATGATCACAAATAATTATATCATCAATTTTAAATGTTAAAGTTTTCAACGGTTTTTTGATATATTTTTTTTTAAGAGGGAATATCCGTATCTTTCTCTCTCTCGCTCTCTCTCTCTCTCTCTCTCTCTCTATTTCTCCCTTTCCCTCTCAAAAAATAAAATATGTCATTTAACGAAAGTATTTTGGTCGATTGCGGTTGATTTGAAATCAGAGAGAGAGAGAGAAAGAGAAAGATACAAAAGTAAAGGATAATTTTTTTAAAAAAAGGGTGAAAAAATCAAAGTATAAAGATTACTTACTTCTTTCTTAGTAAAGTAAACATGTTTGTTATTTAAAGAGATGAAATTAGCAAATTGAATTGTGGTGTAATTAATTTTGTTAAAAATTATTTCAAATTTGCCGATATTGAAATTTCAATGTAAATTCAATGTGATACTTATTTATCATTCATTTTTCAAATTTTCTTATTTTAATAATTCAAAGTTGAAAATTGTATTTTGTTTTGCTCGTTTGCTTTAAAATTTAATCATTGTTTACTGAAATTAATTATTGTTTGCTAATTAATCATTGTTTATTGTAATTTCAAGAATTTTTTTTTTAATTTTCAGATACTTTTGTACATATCAAATTAAGTAAATATAATAAAACTATAAATAACTATTGCAATAAGCTTTTCATTTGAGTCATTTGATTCAATTAAATGAATTATTGTTCTACTAAATTAATTTTATTTAAGCTAGCTAAATTTTTGGAAGATTTAAAAATGTTTATATCTTTTTCAAATATTTTAAATCATTAATCAAAATCAAACTGCTTATCTATCTTATGATTTGACCTTTGGATAGTGAACAAAAAATTATGATTTGACCTTCAAAAAATTATAATTTGCCTCCCTCCCCTCAAAAAATTATAATTTGACCGAAATTAAAATCGACATTCAAATTACGATATCAAATTTAATTTCTTATTTTTTTATAAAATAAATCTAGTGAAGTGGTCAAAAGTGTTCAAAATTACTATTGTGTTATGATTTGATCTTTGGATTGTGAACAAAAAATTTTTTAATGCTAGCAAACCCTTACTTTGAATTCATCAGATGTATCATCTGGCAATATCAAAATCATATTAGCGATATACAAGTGAACATAAATAGATCGTTGTTGAATGTTGTAATTTTTCGTGTGCACAATTTTCATGTGCAAAATGTAGGAATCCAATGGTAGAAATATAATAGTTGTAATTGGAGAGGATAATGTCAACATTCTAATATAAAATTAAGAATGCTGACACTTTTCTCATCAGTCAAAATCAATCTGAAATTGTAATAAATAGTAGAAATAAATAGCTTCAATATCAGTTAACTTTTACCAACTAATTAATTTCAATCTTAATGACTTATTACTTTTCATCTTCGTAATTTCAAAAATTCATTCTAACCGACGAGAAAATTGTTCGCTTTAACAATCAATAAGAAAGACAAGATAAATCGCTATGTCACATTTTATAATGCACATGTCGTGTGTACTTTTATAAATTTCCACCTATATAATTACCAGTTTGTAGTGCCATTAATGGAATTTCTTCATATAGAGATTCTGAAGAATACTAGAACAGATTCTGAAAATGCTAGAAGAGATTCTGGAGAATGTTAGAAGGATAATACAATTGTTTTATTTCGAGTAAAACAAATTTATTTTTGAATGTTAGTTCATTTTTTGCTTAATTTAAGAATTAAGATTTTTCTTTGTTATCCTATTATCATGAGAACAAAGTATATAAAATGCAATGAAGATAGAGAAGGAGAGATTGGCTTCATCTTATTCGATCTTATCCATAAATCCAAATCAATTTTTTCAATGAAATGTTATTTTAATTTAAGCATAATTGATATGAAATAGAAGACTAAAAAAAGAATCATAGAGAATTCCACTTAGCATAAATTGATGAATTTTTGAATTCAGCTGTTTTATTGTGAATCTTTATTATCAGATGATCAGCTGATACATTTCATTCTCACATCTCGAAACGCCAATAAAGGTGATATTTTTACATTCTACAAAATGCAAACGGAATTTCAATGTTAAACTATGAACGGTTGAAAGTGAATGAAATTGCCTACATCTTTGTTGTACATTTTGTTCAAATATAACACTTCCAAATAGAACTTCAATGATAAATAAAAGTTAATTCACTTCTGATTGCAATCTTTTCGGCACATTCTATCGTACTTTCAAAGTGTTTCGAAATAAAATTTCTTTTTCTCGTCCTAAGAAACATTTATTACTTTCAAACAAACTTCTTTTAGTTAAATTACTTCAACACTTTACACAAACTATGAAACCTTTTTCACTACGAAACACTTCGATATATTACAAATTATCCAAATACTTCCAATACATTTTCAACTAAGCCCCCAAGATATTTTGGTCTTCGACATTTGTTGATTTACCGGCAAATGTGATTTTATTGGGTAAGAAAGATTAGATCATTCTAACTTGCACTGATCACTAAATTGATCAGAAAGATCAAATACGTCAATTTAGCGTCTGAAATCTATCATCTGGCCTACGTGTTCGACGTGTTGCTAAGTAATATTTGCACAATTCTTTCGGCATAGTAATTGCACAAAATATTGGCGATTGTATTGTCTGAAATTACAGATTTTGAAGTTTTGTGAAGTTTTAAAAAATTTTATATTCATTTCGAACTTTTCAGTTTAAAATTTAGCATTTCTTTATAATAGCAAAGTGAATGAATAATTTTATATTTGACGATTTCAGATAGAATGGATCATCACTTAAAACGTTTCAAAAAATATGAACGAATAGAAAATGAATTAGCTCGTAAATTACTTGCTGAATTTTTTGGTACCGCTCTTCTAAGAGTTAGTATTTCAGTTTGCTATTTCAAATTCATTAATATTTGAACATTTTTTGATGCTCAAAATTTTCTAACATTCTTATAACTTCCTCGATAGCCCATCTGATAAAGTTTTAATACATAGAAAAATTATAATCTTCACACTTACATTATCTGTTTATGTTTATATCTCAATGATTAAAGTTCACTTCTGTTCATCCGTGGAAGTTTCATATTATAAATACTTCTGCTGAGTTATCTAAACTAATAGGAAAATTTCTGCCGTCTGAATAAAAATGAATTTTGTAAAGAATTCAGTTTATTGGTACCGGTGTGATGGCTCAGTTCGTACTTAGTCGCGAGACATCGAACTCTCTAATACAAATTAATATCGGTTGGGGACTAGCGACTACACTGGCAGTTTATGTTGCATGGGAAACCTCGGGTAACTTATAATAGCATTTTCATTAAATTGGTTTCCAACTGAAACCACCAAATTGCATGCGGGAAATGAAAACTTATGAAAAAAGCTGAAACGGGCTATTGTGTGCCTGCAACTTAATTCTTTCTTTCAATTCCAGCAATTATCTTGTAGGTAGTTTAATTTAATAATTTAATTGGACATTATGGTCTGCAGAACTGTTAAGCGTTGCTGCAATTATAAAAGCTTGCCAGGTTCCTCAGAAATGTCACAAAGTTAATTTTCCTAGCGCTGTTGCATCCACCTATCCTAGTTGGCCAGAATATTTAGGGCTGAGCACTCTTTTTACAGCAACGCGGTTATTCTTTTTTTAAATGGCCTACTTGTGGCGTAAATTTAAATTATATGTATAATTGGATCAATTTTCAGGTGGACATGTGAATCCTGCTATAACAGCTGCTTTGTTCATTCTCGGAAAGATATCTCTTGCTCACAGTCTTCTGTATTTCGTTGCACAAACACTCGGAGCAGCATTTGGCACAGGGACAATGTATATAGCTTATAGCGGTAAATTTCTTTTGACTTTCGAAGCATTTCAATTCCAATCTGGTGAATTGAAAGATAAAATAAAAGATAAAGTGAACGATATATTTAAGAGATAGTAAATTAAGCAATAAATGACTTACTTTTTGTTACGATTCACAAAATTTTTGCAATTGTTACCGTTTTCAGAGGCAATAAATGCCTTTGATGGCGGTATTCGCGCAATAAGTGGACCAAATGCGACCGGAATAATTTTCGCATCATTCCCACGGACTTATCTTTCCAATACTGGCGCCTTTATCGATCAAGTTTATTTCCCTTTTTTCACGAAAATTCAAGAAGTTATTTCTTCTGCGTAATCCAACAGCATATTGGGAAGCAGATTTTCGTTTTACACCCTAAATAAACAATGATCAAGGCACACCAACTTACTTTTTGTTTGATAACTTCAATCTTTCTCTATAGTTTTAGATGGTTGGCACTAGTCTGATTGGCATCTTTGTCGCATTCTGCAATGAACCCAAGAATCAAATACCGAGAAAATTGATTCCAATCTTTATCGGTACAGTCGCAACAACCATTTCAATATGTTGTTGCTTGAATAAGGGTTCTTCGGTTAATCCAGCTAGCGATTTTGGCTCACGAATTTTTGCCTCTTTAAGCGGTTATGGCATCCAACTCTTTACGTCAGTGCATTAATTTTTCTTAAGTCTTAATTCCTTCTCCCAATATTTCTAGAATTTCGAATCTAGATTTGATCATTCTTTCAGATTTCACCACTATTTTTTCATCGTTCCATTATTGGCGCCAATTATGGGTGCTGTGATTGGCACGTATTCCTATCAGTTTTTTATCGGTTTCCATATTCCCAAACCTGAAACAATGAATGTCAACAACGACAAGTTTGTGATGCGAGACAATCGTACAATTAGTTTCTAGTATTTTTATCTTAATCATTCTTTATTTTAAGTTTAAGTGCTGTACGGCAATAAAGACCCCCGCTGTTTCTGGACCGCAAAATGTTTACGTGTAAAATGAATCTTAGAAATAAATTGGACCAATTCCAGGAACATGAATTTCCAAACTTCAATTTCGAATTTCAGTTAAGCATGCTTAACTAGTACCTAGTTCATCATACACCCTTTTTTGCTACTTTTTTATTGTTTATGAAAATGTGTAAAAACATTTATTTCTTTAAAAGCAAAATACTTTTGTAGTTGCTTCTAAAAAAATGTGCTGTATGACAGCACTGACATGCAATAGGGTAATACCAAAATATGACATTGGTTGTGTGATACATAACACGATATGCACATCCATGGTAACAAATAAACGAATCAGTAAATAAACTCGGATTTTCATATATTAAAACCCGTAACAACAAATACCAAAGTGAACAGTGTGCAGATTCAATTGAATTCAATCAAATGTTTATTAAACAGATATAAACAAGCAAAGAACGTCCATCTTATCCGCCATGCAGAGTAGAGATGAATGAAACGACGTCACCATCTTCCAAGATCGTTTTAGGCCCCTGCAACAGATCCCAATCCACTTCATTAACAAGCACCAATATTCCAGGTCGAACACCATCGCCATCTTTATCCACCAGTAGATGAGACTTTGATTTGTCTGGTATTAAGTTAACATTGATATGTCGCACCAAATCGCTAACAAATAACGGTCCCGAATCATTTCGCATTTGGATATCGAATTCTTTCTGCATGCCAAACAACGATTCTGCACCACCAGAAAATTCGATTTTCAGACTTAAAACACCCATGTTTAGCCTGAAATCTGGAATTACTTCTACAAATTTCTTTCAGGAGCACTTACATGTAATAGATTTAAGTCATACCTACTGCAAACATTGATAAAGAGAAGTTCAAATTCATTAGTTTCTTACTCAGCACTTTCAACATCTCGCCGTAAAGAGTGTACTGCACAATTTTATCCTAAGACGAATTTTAGCAATTATTCCTTCCTTTCTCCACTCAAAAAAATTCGGTTTATTATTGCAATTACTATCTCCTACCAGTATCTTATCACTGCCATGTACGAGACGTGCAAACCTCCTAATTCTGAGGCCTATTTAAAAGAGCACCCTATCACCTGAATTATCAAATTTTAAGGTTCCGTTGAGACTAATTAATAACGCGGCCCAACGCGATGTCGCATTTTGATATTTTAAAATCTAGCTTATCTAACTTGTCATCAATTTGCGTGTGTCATATAGGAAGAAGGAGGGGAAGGATAAAAAAATTTTCGTTAATGGATGTCTTCGTACATTTTATTTAAAAAGGATCTACAACGTTCTATGTCATATTTAATTTGAAACTCTTTCAGTTAGGTATATTGTGAGATTATTTTACTACAAATCTGGTATTGATATTTTATTGAATTTTAATAATGAATGTAAAAATGGGACTGTTACAGTCAACCGATAGGTATCATAGTAGTTCATGAAGAAGCATTAATAGGTGAGTCGAATTGAATGATTGACATCATGAGCATAGGTTGAAGTAGTTTACAGTACTTTCAGGCCTACTACTGCTCTTAAATAATCTTAATAACGTTTATTCTCAGATGACTGCTAAAAGAAACAAAAAACAGGATTTTGCACATCTCGACAATATTAAAAAGATGGAGAATGAGAAAAATGAAATGCGGAGCACATCCAAATTCAACATGAAAAAATCTGAAGAATGTGTTCGAGATGGCAATAGTGCTAAATTTGATTGGCGATGCAAATCATGGCGATTGATTGTGCGCAATTTACCATTTAAGGTAGGTCATAAATTTTAATTTTAGTTCTGCAAAATTCATTTGCCAATTAGAATTTTTTATTGCTTCATTTACTTATTATTGCCGATATTTTTTCTTCATGAAGGATATTATAATAACTTCTAATGTAGTTTAGCTTTTTACGAATTTCTTTTTCATAATTAATCCATGCTCCTCTTTAGCTGAAAGTTTTAGGTATAAAAGGTACAAAAATATTACATCACATTGAGAGGCATCCTTATTCACTCCTTTACTCTTGTTTTCCAGACGACACAGGAAGATCTGCAAGCACTGTTTGGCGACATTGGTCCATTAATTGAAATTGTTTTGCCGAAGTGCAAAGATAAACGGTTCCCAAATTCGTATGCTGGTTTTGCTTTTATCCAGTTTCAGAAACGTCAAGATGCCGTGAAGTCCATCGAGAAATTAAATATGTCTGAGGTTGATTTAAAAATTTCTCCTATTATATTGGTTTGCTGCATTTGAAAGCGAAAATTTTGGCATACTTTCAGGAAGAGATAAAGATAAGAGGTTTTCTAGGTACTTGGAAGGAAAATCGCAGTCGACTGGGCTTTATCAAAAGATACTTACGAGACAGCAGTATATGAAGGTTGTTTGCTTTTACAATGTTTTATGAAAAGTTCTTATTAGATGTTTCCTAACTTTATTTGGATTTGTGTTTAAGTGAAACCAGATCTATATGTGCTAAATCTTCGAAAGATTCATTTGGAATAGAATTCACAGCTGAATTACTAAATTCACAGCCTCTTATGGGACGCATGTTATTTCCAGAAAAACAGGAGAATCAAAAAGTTAAGGAAGAAATCAAACAAGAGATTGAATCGGACGATGGCAGTACTATTGAGAAGGAAGAAAAGGACAGTAACGAAATCAAGAAAGAAATACTGAGCGAAAACTTGTCTGATGAAGATATTCACAAAGCTGAAAAGAAGGAAAAACAAATTGGACGAGAATTCAAGGAGGATAAAGCAGTATTGGAAGGACGTGTCGTATTCATCAGGTTAATAGTCATGGTACTTTGGTGAAAATGTAATGAGGGGCAGTTCCCTTTTCGAATAAATTTTTTCTTAACAACAAACATGCCAGGATTGCAATTAACTGTTCAGGGTCACTCCTCGAATTTAAGCTATTGAATTCAAAAGTATCTTAATTTTGAATCCAACATATTTCTGAAATTTTGTTCTAGAATATGTTTCAGAAATTTGTCATACGAAACAACAGATAAATCGTTGAAGGAAGCTTTGTCGAAGTTTGGAAACATTTCATTGGCAATTCTTTGCTGCCACGCGGGCAGTGAGCACCCAAAAGGGACTGCTTTTGTGCATTTCGAAACAGCTGATGGAGCAGAAAAATGTCTGTTGGCCTTAGATCAGGTGAGCTGTATGACCATTTTCTAAATTTAGGTTGAATAAGTCAAATTTTTGATTCCTGAGAGAATTGTTAAACATGTTATGATTTGGTTGGATTTCTTCAAATTATATGTATTTGGTAAAGATTTATATCTTCTAGTATTAGATCATAAGAAATGATTGAGTCTTAAAGAAAAGGTTACAATTTTGTTATTAAATTTTAGTAGCAATGTTTAGGTTCCCGGTATTTTAATTGATGGTCGTCGAATTTTCGGTCATCAGGCATTGCTAAGAAGTGAAGCAGCAAAAATTGAAAAGGTACCAATTGATTTAGTGTTGACTTCAATACTGTAGATACTAATGGGAAAAGTTAAGTTGATGAGGGATGCTATGTTAGTTCCTGCTTTGTAATCGTGATTGTTTTATCTGCCTCGTTTACCTCTTTTTTCATGATTGGCAGTATCATGTTTATTGTAAGCTAGTTTCAAAACCACTGTAATGCATTATTTATTCAGCCATTTGATAGAAATGCCTTTCAATATATTATTCTGATGTATTTATCATATTTGTAACAAATCACATTTTTTTTCCAGGAGAAGCTGTCCAAAAAACCAAAGGACAAACGAAATCTTTACCTTCTACGTGCTGGTTTTATACGACCTGGTACAACTGCTGCAGCGGGTATGAGTGAAACAGATGCCAGTAAGCGTACACGTTTGGCAGTCGCTGCACGACAAAAGCTAAAGAACCTTCATATGTATGTTTGTTTTGAGTTTTGTTGTACCAATAACATGAAATCATATTGCAAGAGTTTTTGTTTGCCATTGATTTGGACGTCTGATTTTCAACATACACTATTTTTCTTATTACCTCTTCCACTTATGTGATTATATGTGAATTACTTATAGACTAAAAACTTTCCTAACCTTATAAGTTTTATCTCCTGAAATACAGTTTTAGGTAGCTGAGTCTATTCTATTTACTAGTTTACGTCAAGATTTGATGAAGATTAAAAGGTACAATTCAGAGCCTATAGAGTTCCGTATCGCAACCGATTAATGAGTGTGAATTTGCAGGTTTGTTTCTCCAACGCGTTTAGTTGTTCACAATTTGCCGAAGTCTTTAACTGATAAAGCCTTTAGATCGATGTGTTTTATTGCAGCTGGCAATCCAGATGCAAAAATAAATGAAGTATGCTTTTGAATTTGAAAAATCGAATAATTTGGTTCTTTAAGTTATTAAACCTATGCTTTCTTTCTGTCAAAGTACCTCTCAGCACTTTTTCTCCATCTTTCCAAGAAAAGGTCCGTTACTTTCTGTATCATGAGTTTAGTAAAGTGGTAAATACACTTGTGTCCGTACCTGATCAGTACTTTCAGTGTCGCATTTGGAGAGATAGAAATAAATTAAGTGCATCTGGAGAAGCTGTGTCTCGAGGTTTTGGCTTCGTCAATTTTTTGAGTCATCAAGATGCGTTATCAGCTATGAAGCACTTGAATAATAATCCGGATATATTCACCAAGGAAAAGGTTTCATTAAATTTAAGTTTTTTCTTGAGCTAAAATCTAGAACCGAGAAGGCTACTGTAATTATTTTAAAAATTGCTTATATGATTTCAGTAAGTAGTGAAATGATCATTCTTTGATGAAAGTTGGAAATATGTAATGATGCTTCATTTTAAATATTAAATATCCTACAACAAATTCTACTTTTGAAGAGCTCTTTTAGCTTATTTCATTCATAGTTTGAATTAATTATTAATACTTTCAGAGACCTATTGTTGAATTTTCTATAGAAAACCTGCTTGCTCTTCGGCTTCGTGAGTCAAGACTGAAGAAATCACAGCAAAATCAATCGTGTAATGAACAAATTGCGTGTGCTAAGAATAAACAGGATTTGGAGCAAACAAAGAAGTACCTTTCGGCTGGTGGACAGAAACCCCTACCTTCTTATTTGGGGACTAAAATTCGAAGAAAAGATGCGAATATGAAAAAAGCTCAAGTAAGTATTCAGCAACTTTTAACTGTGCTTTTAAATTTCTGGGCTGATTTTCAAGTTTTTCTTTTCCTGCTACATCGATGTCACTTTTAGACGAAAGCAAAAAATGGCAGGAAAAGAAAACTGCAAATAGGAATGTCCGAAGCAGTATCGAAGAAGAAAAAGACAAATAGTTCCAAACAGCTTACGAAATATCTTACACTATCATGCTGATGTGATAATTTATGATTATATCAATGAACTCTGTAGATTTAAATGACGTTTTCAAGTTCTATAGACCGGTAAAAACTTTTGTAAACCGACTTTCACCTAAAATATCTGCTTGAATTTTGAAATTGAAGCTTTCGGCATAATTTCTAGGTTGGAAACGGAAACTGAAATTTACAGATAACGCTGTTTGATTTTGTGCTTCAGCTTCATTTTATAGAGAATCGCTATTTAAAACAGTAATTTGATAAATGAGAAAAGATGGAAATATGAAAATTTGTTGTTAGTATGAGATGTTGGTTTTTGTTTTGTGTTGTTTCGATAAGCCAAAGAAAATCTCTTTCATTTATAAATGCATGTTGTAATAAAGTTGCTGAATTTGATAAATTTGTTTTTATGCTGTTTGTCCGTATTTATAAAATGAAATAAACTTCGCTGTTTTAAAAATAAGTTTCTTCTCACATAATTGTAGATTATCATGAAAGATTATTTCTCGTGATATTAGAACCCTTCATAATTTTATACCCAAAGGAATTTTCAAATAAACTGACCAGCAGAGCATTGGAAATGATGTCCTGTTGTAATGAGATGATTGGTTTTTTTTTTATATTTGCATTCCTAATGAATTGAATCATGAGAAACTTAGCTTTTTTATTTCTTTTGTTTTGTTTGCAGCTTAAATTGGTGGAGTTACAATTATGATGGGAAAATTCTATTAGGTGAACTCGATGCAGGTGTAAGTTTTCTCTAAATTATATTCGTGGTTTAATTTGGTGGTTGTATTTTTGCTTAACATAGCGTATGTTAGTCATGTATTAATGATTGTTGTCGAATTAAGCATTTGTGGGATATTCCTCAGATTTTAGTTTTTTCGTTATGATTAATAATTTCCGCATAGATTATATGTTTTGCCATTGATTTTCTAGTCCACATTCTTTTATTCCCTCGAAGAGAGTTAATGTTGAATATGCTTTACTAAGACATTATTAGAACTAATTTAGATATTCCGCTCATATTCAATCTTACGCTAACATAAGCTACATTTTTTTAATTATCAGTCCTACATCAATGATATTTAGCTCAATAATTTTACCTAAAAACTTAGAGAAATTGATTTGCAGTTAATAGCAACTTCAGTGATTGAAACTATTAAAGTTCTTCGAGGTTAACTATGGTTTACTTATTTGTTTGGCTGAGAAAATTAGGATAAATACAAAAATTTTCCATATTTCAGTTTTTCTCTTAGAATCATGAAGATGCTTTCAGGACGCGTTGTTTATGTGGTTCAGAAATTGCCAAAGAAATTCGCTTAGTAGTACGAATTAGCGGTGACCATCTATCGTTGGAAGGATTACGGCGAGCGTTGTATAATTTCTTATTTGCTCGAGCTAACAACGGGAAATTTATTCTGCAATTGGGTCTGAACAAACACGGAAGACAGCCACGTGCCAAAAAAATTGAGGCGCTTTTGGATCGGTTTGGGCTGGAGCGCGATGAAGGACCTGGAACAGGAGGACCGTATGCTCCCTACTCGGTCGCTAAACGTCTGAAAATATATGCTGATGTGGTGGAACGGTTGATTGATACTGGTTTGGCATACCGATGCTTCTGCTGCACTGAGACATGGAAAGAAGTGGATCCAGTGAAGAAAGAACCAGCAAAACTACTTCCTTGTTCAAGGGAATGTTTCACGAAAACTCGCAGTGAATCCAGAAGTATGGCATTGGATGGACTGTTACATGTTGTTCGTCTAAGAATACCTAATCGAGCATACCTGTATCAGGATGTAGTGCATGGCCAGTTATCTAAACATCTACCCGCTATGGATCAGCTGTTGCTGAGGCCAGATTTCATGCCAACATCATTTTTCGCAGATACTGTTGATAATTATACCCTTTGTGCCAGTCATCACGTTGCTTCCTCGTCTCGTGATTTCTTTCATCTTCCTATCTGTGATGCGTTGCAGTGGTATTTGCCAACATTTATAAATATTGGAAGCTTACGGCTTCGCAGTGGTTCACGATTATTAACGTATAATAATGCTCGAAATTATGTTAGGACATACAGTTCAGTTCACGATTTATCAATTTTAAACTTTTTGCTATCTGGTCGTGGCTTACGGAAGAGCTCCGATCGAAATGGTCGTTTGTACAGTATCGATGAAATGATTGCTCAATTTGATATTAGCACTATTACCAGTAATGCATTAATGATAAATACGTACAAATTAATGAAACCGGAACGGCAGGAAACATTGCTAGAACAACAACTTGAATTGGATGAAGAGGTGCGTCTCTTCGATATGTTTGATAAAAACTTATTTGAAGATATGAAATTCACGGATTCGTTATCTAAAAGTTGAGAGTTCATGCCAAAACCGATCTCAAAAGAGTGATTCGTGGTTACTTCAGTTTGATTACGAGAGTATTCTTTAAAATTTGTACGGGAGAATAATAATTTTCGTAGTATTCAAATTTGGAAAGTTTTATAGTTTTTGCAGACTAGTGGCTTAAAACTTCTTTAATTTTTTCTAGCTCTCGTAATCAATTTGAAGTAAGCAAATTGCTAACTGACTGTGAGTTAACTGAACTTTTGATGATTGGTTTTAAGTAATACTTTGTTTGGCTTATCCGGTATACATAAATAATCTTTTTGCATTCCTTTTTTGAAATGTATTAAATTGTAATTTATGTTATCAATTTATATTATCAACTGTTATCAACTGTTTTTTTCATTATTTATAATATAGAAATGTTAAATAAATAAATGCGCATTTTACGACGTAATTCTCAGAATATTTGGGTACGAAGTTTCGTTGATATTGCTGTATGCTTTGCTTAATTAAAGGTACTGCGCTACTCGTCAAGTTTCTATGTTGTCTGGAAAGACCTACAAGAATCCAAAGTTTTAAGACCAGTTATGAGAAGTGTTCTGAATGATTTTAACTGGCTAGGATGTTTTAATAACTAATGTAATAACAGTGAAATGTAAGGAGGATATATAAGATTGTGTTGATCAGTATCACATCTGAATATACTGCTTGTGTAACATATTCAGATGTGATACTGGTGAACACAATCTTATTTGAAGCCGAGTTAATTGGCATTGTTGGCTTCAGTTTATCACAGATTTCACCCTGACTTGTTTAAGGTATAATGCATGACGGTAATGGTTATAGATTGCGAGAGTTTTTGAGGAAAATTAGGAATTCGTGTGTGGATTACGACGATTACTGGATTGAAAAATTGGCGAAAGCCTTACCAAAAGGTTGCCATCTTTCTTCACTTTTGAATTTTTTATGTCCATTTCATATTACTGCATTAAAGATGTGAACAAGATGATATTATTCTTTTTTTACGCTTGCTAAAAAAGATTTCGTTAATGTGAAAAAAGTACCGTTAGAAGGCTTTGTGGAAGGCAAAGAGCTTGTTTTAAGATTCATTGTTGAAATGAACTGGTATTAGTGGTGAAAGAACTTTCATAGCGAATGAATGGCAAGATGCCATTGCATGAAAGCTTTGTATCGAATAACTTAAATTCGAATTTCGAATAGTTAATATTGTATTTGTGATAAGCTTTACGTGACTCAATAGTGAATCCAGGCAATGAAACAAATAATGCATTAATTGAGTCGTTGAAATTTGGACTAGACAGGCCAACAAATCAGAGCAACTTCTATTCCATTCATCTCAGTTTAATCAAAGAGGTAAGTAGAAGAAATGTGATCTTTGTGTTTAGTCATTTAAATTCAATGCAGTAAAATGAGGGCAGAATGAAAAAATTATACTAAATTTGGTCAGAAACTTTAAAAAGTTGTGAATCATTCCAAATTTATAGTTTTTTAAATTCCTGATTAAGTTCGAATTTTTCTTTTAACAATTGTGAAATGTTCTAAATTACTCATCACTTTTTAGATAGTATCGAGCGGTGATAAAGATTTGTGGAATTGTGATTTTATCAAAGATTTCGTTCGGCAATTTTTCACTGATTCAACTTTTGATGTTTCGGCAGTAGTTATGAGTGCTTTATTTATGCTTTATTACGAATTGGAAGAGAAGAATTTTTCTTATGAAGATGAAGGTGTGTGCTACAAATTTAAATTTCGAGGATTAAATTTAAATTGACTAAGGCGTAAAGACCAAAGAAAAACTGATATTTAGTTTAAATCGTTGTTGAGGATAATTTTAAATTTAATGAGATCTATTCAGGATCAGTATATCTCGAGCTCCTCAGTTTTTAAGTGTTAATTGGATCGGAGGTAAAATGAGTGGAAAGTTTTTTAAATATGCAGAGAATTGGATTAGCGAATCTATATATATCTATGTTCTCATAACTGCTCATAACGACCATAAGATTAAACAAATGAAATATGGTTTAAGTCAAATAACATGAGCGGAAATAATTATTTTTTTAGAATATTCGTGTGCACCGCCTAACCGTTACAGATTACACGCTTTACTGAGTGAAAGTGCATTTATAATGATATTTCACTATTGATCGGTGCTTTAAGTTTTTTTCAGAAGTAGTTCAAAAAGCTCTTCAATTGCTGAGTGATAATATAGATTCAGCTCTGAATATTACTATATGCAATTATCTGGACAAAATATTTGGAAGGAAATATAATATTTGTTGGGCTTCTGCCATTATTGAACTACTGAAGACGAGCAGTTTCGGATTACCAGATAAATGTGCAGGAAATTCTGCATGGCGCCAAAGGTTATTTCTTGTTTTTTGGACCCTGCTTTTTGCAGTTCAAATTTGTCATGATTCAAATTTGATTTGAAATTTTAATTTGTTATGTTACATGCATAAGCACCCATAATTGTATAATTATGGAATTCCCAGTACATTTAGTGTTAGGCGCACGTTGTAAATTTCATCCCTATTTTTCTTTCAGATTGTCGCAGCTTCTATTGTATGATTCAAGTCTGATAACCGTAGAACAGTCACAAGAAATTTTTGTGCTGGCAAAAAGCCTTGAAAACCGAACTGAACATATCAAAGTTTCTGAATGTGAAATTGTATCAATCAATCTCCACTTTTGCAAGCTTTTGGCCGAACTTGTGTGAGTAATTCACTGCAGCTTTCTAAATATAAATTAAGTCAAATTGAGTAACTAGTTTGAAATAATTCTGCAGTTTATAAATAATGTTGAAACTGGAATTCATTAATAATATTTGAACTTGATATTATTTTTTTCGGTCAGTTCCATATTCATCACTGACCTTAGAAATTTGACTCCATTTTGATCTTTACAAATTCAATTCCTTTTCAGAGTTTTGCTGTTGTTCAGGCTTATTCATATCCATCTTTGTTAAAATTCAAAACTGTTCATTTTTTGATTGAAAGGGGATTTTAATTTAAAAAAAAAATGAAATAATGAAGTGATTTTTGATGGGATAGAGTTGCGTGGAAGGTATTTTTTTCTGGTAGCCTCTGACAGGCCTGATTTTTACAGACAACAAAAGAAAGTGGATGAGAAAATATTTTTTGACGACGACTGGTGCTGCATTCATATCAGAAATGAGATTTTATTACAGTTAATTGCTATGTAAGTTTTTTTTGGTTATTGTTATTGTCGTTGTTATGAATTTTGTCCCAGTATTTTTTTGCAGATTTAAGAGATGATTAATATCGTAGATTTTCACTGTGCTACATAACAATCAGTTGTATTTCTTAGATTCTCTTTCAGTCTGTAATTAACTGAATAATATAAGAATGGTAATCACAATGTGTGGTAAGATAAATAACGTAGTAATCACAGCAGGACCAATAAAAACTTTTATCTACCTATTTTGGTTTGAATTAGTTGGTGAAAATTAGTTACTTAAGCAGTCATGGCTACAGCAAAAGTAATTGTATGTGATATTTTTTGTACTTAAAACTCAATTTTGTTTTTTTCTTATGAAATCGATGATTTAGTGATTGTGATAATTTAGGGGGCGTACAGAATTAATCAAAGTTGTATGGGATACTCCAAACTTACGCTTATTGGATTTGATAGAATTGGGACATCATTCCGATAAAGGTGAATCTTTTTCTCAAATTTTATCTCGTTTCCGTTTAATTGCTTAGTTCCATCGATCTCTTATTTTTTGCTTATAGTTTTGCTTATAGTTCATAGTTTTTCCGCTTTCTTACATTCCATATCACATAGCCTGTTCATCATTTAATTCTTGAACTTTGCTTTATCCAAACGAAGAATTATGTTTTTTTTTTTTAAATCTTGTAATATATATATATTATTTATTTGTTTTTAATTATTTATTATAATAGAAAACAAGTAATCATTTATTTTTTATCGTCTTTGACAGACTATTTGGATCGAGGTTTGTCCATATTATGCGAAGAACGTAACTCATTATCAGCTAGTAAATTTATTGCAAGTCTTAAAAATCCATCCATCGCTACGCTCGATTCTTTGTATGATACTTTGGAGTTTCATAATATGGTAGATATTTGCTTACATTTATAATTCCGTCGCTAAATGTGTATCAATAGTTCTATGTTGAAAGGCCAAAACGAAATATAATCGATAGGATTATCTCGATATTACGTACGTTACATAAAGTCACATGGCACTTATGTGTGATTTAGATGTTAAGTAGTTTGCATAAAATTTGTTGCTTCTTATATCTACTCTATGTTATTTCAGGAAATTATCCGATGAATTTTGCTTAAAAAAGTAAAACTAATTTAAATGAAACAAAATGTTGCATTTTATTTCAAATATATTTTTCAGATAAATCCAATGGTTTTAAATGCATTACTACAAAAATCAGAGATGTGGAGTAATAAAATTATTCCGGCTCTAGCTTCAAAAGCGGCTGAACAGCTTAACTTGCTAAGATGGGAATGCAGAGATAATGCCTTAAGTCAACTCACTGTGCTAGTTAAGTATGGATATAATGGATCTGGTAAACTTTAAATGCATTGTAATCGATCTCTGCTGGTATCTCGCTGATTATTAAGTAATGGACGATATTTCTTAATGAACGCTGCAACATTGTGTTCATTAAACTATATATAAAAGACGGCTAATTATTTTGGCAAATATCAAGATTAAGTTAATTTCCAGAGCTGATACAGTGTATCACCGATATGGTCAAGAATGATGAAGAGCCTTATGTCCGAGGTGAAGCGCTGGCTTTTTTAAACCAAATTGAAAATCGAGTGAATGTGAATAACTTAGCTGCATCTGTGCTGCTTTCAGATTCCGATTCGGCTCCACGGTTAATTTTCTTTCCAAGAAATTTGCAGATTTAATTGATATTAACTGTTTTTTCTTTTTTTTACTGAAACCATGTATTCTCATTTTTGTATTTTCTGCTCAGTTATTATTAATAATTTTTAGGATTGAGGCTATCAAGATACTACGTAATGGTCTACCGCAGACAGAAATGCTTTGTCTTGATCTCATACCAAAAATTTTATATGATGAAGATATCTCTTTGCATCGTATTATTATCGATTTATGTGCAACCTTAATTATCAATGGTAGAAACCAGGAACTGAAGGATTTATTGATAAAATTTCTTGAGGTTAGTCATAGTTCTCATTTCACATTATCATTATTGTTTTTAAAGAAATTAAAGAAATATCACAGTAAATAGCAGCTTGTCTGTTAAGGATTATAAAATCTATGTTATCAAAACATGATCTTTGATACAACTGTCTGAAAGTGTATTTGGTAGGTCATATGAGATAAATTGTGTATTTCATTTTTGAACAAAAATTTGCAGCACGATGAAGTAGATTGTTACGAGGAATTGAATGAAATGCTATATGGCAAAAACAGGGAATTATCGTTAAAACGTAACGATAATGATTTGGAATATATATTCAATGTTTTGGCAAAGCAGGATGAGGGAGAATTGGATAAGGATTGTTATGATTTATGAATCCTCGATTGATTTTTGTTTAGCAATTGAAGTAACACTGATTTGTATGAAATAGAAAAAGATTGTTTTGACTACGAAGCATTTTTGATAATACATGGTCGACTTATTTTCTTAGTTCTGATTGCTGGCCATTTTTTTTTATCTCAAAAAACATAAATTAGTATTTAGAAGAGTGCCATAAAATTCAAAACAATTATGCACTTCCCATTATTAATTTTTTGCAACATTTGGTTGGATGATATTACTAGTCCTTGCTGCAAATGCCTAATCTAATTCGAATCTCATATTTTATATTTGAATTTTGAATTTATAATTATATTTGAATTTATATTTAAGTTTGAATTTGAATTTATATTTGAATTTGATATTATGTTTGAAGTTTATATTTGAATTTGAAAAATATATTTGAATTTATATCACATTTCACTCAATGATGTACATAGCTGATTATGCTTGTGTAATTTTATTTTGTGATTTATGGCTCAGTATTAACATATGCTTATACTGCATTTCATCATTTTATGTTTACTGAAACCTTCCGTGGTTTGGAATAAAATCCATGAGAAAATAAATTTTCTTGTATTCCATGCATTTGCAAACGCTTAAAATAACGGATACTTTTATTTTCTTAGCAAAATTCACGAAAGCAGAATGCAATTTCTTGGTTCTTTTATTTGAATTAATTGAATCAAAAGTTAGAGATTCGAATAATTACACAAACAATCCTCAATTTGCATAACAAACCCCTGAGAATTTGTGCAGTATTTTTACTGTGAAGTAGAATCATTCTAACTTCTGCACTTTTATTCCTTCCTAGAAGTTTTCAAACTATTATTAAATATGATAAAAACATTATAAAGTGAATTTTAGACCGGTTTCAATAGATTATTATTAGGTAGATTCTATACCATATTGGGTAGATTATTGTAAAACGGATTCCATACCCTATTAGAGAAATTATTGTAAAGTCGATTTTATGAAATAATAAAATCAATGAAATAACGAAAGGTTTAAATTTAAAACACAAAAAAAGCTTGCAGCAAAAATATTTTTCCATCAAAAGATTTTTTAATATTTCAAAGATGACAGATAGATAGTTGATAATTTCCAACATCTTCACTGAAACATTAACAAAACATATGAATAAACAAAACTATCATAAATATTGTTAAACGATTTTTTTCATTTATAATATTAATAATTCAAAAAAAAGCTTTTAATGCTTACTTCTTGAAATTTAATAATTATAGTTTTATATATATATATATATATATATGTGTGCCTGTAGAGGGAAAAGTGTATTTGATATAATTTTTATATCTTTAAATTATAAACTTCACGAAGTTATTATAAACGATTTAAAGATTGGACAAAACAAAAAAGAAGCAAACATTTTTCCGTTACATAATTAAAAAGGATTGAATAAAATTTCATTAGGGTGTTGAAAAGAATGAAAGCACAAATGAATAATTAATTATAGAATCTATTTAACCTATGGAAAGATTTCTTGAAGGAATATGTAATGTATTAAATATGTGAAATTTATTGAAGTAATATGGATTATATTAAATATTCTCTCTAAACTTTTTAAACCAAAAATCTAACTGAATTTATTTCCTGAACTGAATTAATCCTACCATAATTGTATTAATCATTTTCTTTGCTAAAAATAAAAAGCTCATCAATTATAACACTTAATTATATTTGGAATGAAGGAAGTTTTGCTCAGTGAAAATTTAATTGATAAAAAAATTTTTGGACTAAAGTAATGATAACAATTAAAGAAAATTCAAGATTTTAGTGGAGAATATCCAGGATGGTCATTTGTAGCAAAGAATATTCAGGATGGTCATTTTTAATAAAGAATATCCAAGATGGTCATTTTTAATAAAGAATATCCAAGATGGTCATTTTTAATAAAGAATATCCAAGATGGTCATTTTTAATAAAGAATATCCAGGATGGATTATCACTTTTTATCACTAACGATACGAAGATAAGTTCCTTTATTCCAACCTTTTTTTTTCGTTAAGATTAATTAAAATTATTTTACAAATTCAGTGCAGAAGTATGTTGCAATGCATTTGCAAATATGAATGAATGAATTATTTTTGAATGAACTTTCAAGAAATGATGTATAAATAAAATGAAATCAATAAAATTCATCGATATGAATATTTTTGATTTAAATTTTAAATGGTTAAATGATTGCTCTCTCAAAATTATACATGTTTTCATATGACATAATCGTATTTCTCATTAACATTCCTTGAAAATATATTTGCATAGTAAATATTAATACTAATTATCAAATTAACTGATATTTGATGATAAATATTAATTATCAAATTATCTGCACAATTATATTAAAAATAACAGATATAAATCTTTTCTGATAATTTGCATTGTTAGAAATTACTTTGTATTTTTTGATAAAATTATAAAATCTTCTAAATTGATCGTCTCCCTTTAATTTTTAGCTTAAAATAAAAGCAAACATTTTCCTAAAATCCTTTAATTCATGCCTTTTTATTTTCACCCCTCCTTTTATCTTATTTACAGGATGATATTGACATAGCAAAAGATTGAAAATGTTGAAAAAAAGATATGAAAATAATATTTGTTGTTGTTTTTTCAAGTTTTGTTGTAAAATTCTCCAAAAAGAAAAGAAGCAAACAAAACTTTATGTTATAGAACTTTTTGTGCCATTTAATTTTAAATAATTATTATGATTGATGAGATGATTGATTATAGCGAAAAAGAAAGTGAAAATGATATCCTTCCTGGAAATTTGATAAAAAAGCCAATCAATATTATTAGAAAATAATTGTATTGATAAAATCATTAATACTAAAGTTATTATTTACAGGATGATATTGACATCGTATAATTTATATTTATTTCTTTATCTCTACAATACTATTTAAAAAAATTTATTAACCGAATATTTGTCTATTCCATTTTCTTTTCTAAAAATTTCTTCGGCCTCATATATGTATCATGAAAATATCGTATGAAAAGTACAGCAAATGATGAGTAAATAGCAAAACCAAGTGCAAGATTATCCATTGATTGTTGACAAACCTATAAAATTTTGAACGTAAATTTTTGAATTAGAAAAAAATTCAAATTTATATCCCAAAAAAAACAACAGAAAAATATACGGTATCTAAAGCTTTGTTAAAAAAAGCCATTGAGATGTTTTTCTTGCGACTTATCGGAAATTTTTGCAACTCTTTCATACTATGATAATACCTTTACCGTTGTATTATTAACTTCCCAAAAAACAAAAAACTTATAAACAACAAGCAATAAATTATTACATCGAATGCATTTGTTAATTTGATTATCATACTTTGAAACATCAACGTGGATTAATATATGGTAGTAATTTTCTATTTAAAAATTTCCAAACTTAGATTTCAGTCATTTTATGATTTCATTTCGTTTTCGTTACTTATATATCGTATTGAGATATCTCAGTCAGACTTCATGATAAAAACAAATTTTTCAAATTTTTACTTTTCATTATAATCTCTTTGATTGATTTTAATATGTTAATAAATTATAACAATTTTTTTACGCTAAGGATTCTATTAAAAAAATATCGATGTCATCAGATTTCAGATTATACCTCCTTTTCATATAGAAGATTTGTGAGAATTTAAATGTACAAAGTAAATCTAGCGTATCTTTGCTATTTCAATTTTAAATCCGATACTGATATATTTTATCAAATGTAAAATCTCTTCGAATAGATCGGGGGAATAGATGAATTTAAATAATGGAAAAGCGTTAAAATGCTATCTATAACTTACAGCATTTTTGAGTTTCTGTTTGAGTACCATTATTGAAATGAAGACACCAATAAGCATTTGTGATGTTTGTAATACAGTAACAATTATGGGAAATAATTTTGGTGGTCGAATACCCCATGATGTAATTGAATAATATGAATACATTATAGAATGTACAAAAAAATTCATCATGATATACCAACGACCTGGAGCTGTTATTTCAACTGCTAAAAATGAAATCATTATCACAAATTCTTTTCATATCACAAATATCTTATTATATCCAATGATAATGATGATAAGATAAAAGTTTGATAACAATGATAATGAGATAATAAAAGTTATGAATAAAAAGAAATAGACACTAATGATTGACATTATAATTAAAGTTTAATTTAAAAAAGAAATTCTTACCAGTATTCCAACTATAGATAAGAACAACAGCATGATGATACCAATGTAAGAATATTATTGGCTTCTTACGCATTAACAAAAAAATGGTATCACCAAGCTCAACAACTTTTGATGCTGCAAATGCGAAAGCCCAAACAGCGGCTGGTTGAAAAGGTGAAATGGAATAACAAATTGAATGCACAAATGGACGTGTTGATAAAGTATTGTAAAATTCTTCGCCAAATCTAAAACGAAAATTCTCTGAAATTATATTTCAAATAAGAGAAAAACATTAAATTATTAATTATTTCTTTTAAAATTAAAGCCATTAATTGTATAGAAAAAATTAAATTATTAATTTAAAATTAAACTATTAATTATTTCAATTAATTACTGTCACTTTATCCATTCACTTGTTTTATCATAAATTTTACTTTTTATTACACTTAATAACAATCTCATAATATCAATTAAAATTACGAAGGAGAAAACTTTTTGATTTGTTTTTAAAATGAAATAAAATATAAACAGTTATGAGATTATGACAGTATCATTCTTCATAAAATTATGACAGTATCATTCTTCATAAAATTATGACAGGTATCATTCTTCATAAAATTATGACAGTATCATTCTTGATTATGACAGTATCATTAATGACAGTATAATCTCACAAATCGTTGATGATACTTATAAATTCTTATTTATTTACAAAGAAAAATTGATAGAATGAAAATTTTCTGTTCATTTTTCATTTTCCTTTTTGTTTTTCCAAACTTATTTTTACAGTTATTTTATTTTATTTATTTTTAATAAATTTTTATCCAAACTTATTTTTACAGTAATTTTCAATTATGAAATTTTCATTTCATTCCTTACCTAATTGTTGCAATAAAACTGAATATTGAAAGAGTTATATTCCATATACATAATGGTAATCGAAGATTCCAAGCTTTTCGAGTTCGTTGATAACGTTGTAAAGCATGAATTAAACATATGTAAAGAAGAGCTATAAATGCTGATGTACTCCAATGCTGTAGTTTTAAAAAAAAATAAAATTAGAATTAATTAATTAATTAATTAATGCTGATGTTACTCCAAATGCTGCAATTTTTTTAAAAGATAAAATTAAAAATTAATTGATTAGAATTAATTAAATAATTACTTTTTAAGGAATGAAAAGAAACTTTAGGAAATAAATATGGAGAAATATTTTTCTCCTTTATAAATACAATTTAAAAAGTAAACATTAGCTAAGGAAATTTTCTTCTGTCTAATTTTGATGCAAAATTTCCATTTTTTTTCCATTTGATTTTGGATTGTATCTTAATATTATAAGTAATCAAATTCGAATATAAACTTTTCATTTCTTAAAATGCTGCAATTCTTATTTCCCACATTCAATTTAATTCACATCCTATCAAATAACATTAACAACTCTCAATTGAAAGTTTTGGCACAAAATCTCAAATCACATCTGTAATTGCCAGTCTATTTTTACAATGAGAATTCTAATTGATTTTCGTAGACTTTCAGTTGAATATATCATCTTCATCTTTTCTTTGTTTTATTTTAAATTTCAAATCTTTCAATCAACTCTTCTTGAAATATTTATTAATTTTAAAATAAAAAAAACATTAAGCTTTAACTTGAGCTTAATGATACATTAGTAATTTTCAAATGGATGTTATTTCATATTTTCACAACAATATCTTCTCTCCTCTTTTTCCTTATCCTTTCTGAAGATATTATGAGATCGGAAAATTATTGCCTCATGAAAATGGGAAATCCATTTGGTATATGAATATAAAATTGTGAAGTATTAAATGTGAAATTTATGAAAATACTTCATTTTCTTAACTTAGATTGAATTTGCTCCTTTATCATCCGCAAAGTGAAACGTTGCAACAAAACATGAAGAATATAATTTTAACTGTCAACTAAAATTTCTTATTCTTTCTCCATGTTAACATTTAATTCATAATAATATTAATGATTATTCTATATATATCAAAACAATTAAATGTGTTTGCTTAATTGACATATATCCCTTATTGTTAACCATTAATGATAATAATAATAAAATAATCATGACAATTGATAATGATGATAATTACGCTAACAATAATTACAAATATTATTAATAATGAATGGCGATTAATTATTAAATAATTAAATCTTTATTTATATAAATAATACAAAATTAAAGTAATACTTGTTTATTGCCAGTTTCACTTTTTTTTCTCCTCTCATTCAATAGTATGAAATGAAACAGTGATAAGACAGACTTCTATTGATATCAATAAGATTAAGTATATTATGAATGTTTATGATTATATCATAAATACTTCATATGCAAGATTTTTCAACAATTCTATTGATTAGTTGTTGATAGGCGTTGAAAGTATCAAAACAGGATTATTTAAATTATATCTCAAACTTTTATAAATGTACAGAGAGAAAGAGAGAGAGAGAGAGGGAGGAGACAGGGAAATCGACTTGGCAAAATTATGAACGAAAGGGAATACCGGTGATACTATCACATTATTTTCCGAATGAACGAATGGAAACATTTCCATTTAACTGAATACACAACATACATATATATATATATATATTGTCTACATGCATTTCGCTTTAGATCTTAGCAAATTGTGTTATCTTATTGATATCACTTGCAGCTGTTCTATTTTTTCAAATGTTAACTAATTTTTCAATTATTGAAGTTCATCCATTCTTAATGATACAAAGGAGCAATTTTTTTCTTTGAATACAACAGCAAATATTCAATAAAATATTCTTAAATTATGCCATTTTTTCTTATCAAACAATAATTGATAATCTTTCATAAAGGTTTTAAATATTCATTATAAGATGAAATCCCTGAAACATTCATATCAGTGAAAAAAAATTTTAATTAAAATTTAAATTTAGACTTTTGTAATTATATTAATTGAAATTATATGTGAAAGTAATTAAGATCATATCTACTAAACTTTTTTTTAAAAATATTACAAGAATTATTTCATTGAATAAATGTTAAAATTGATAAATAAGATGAAATTCGTTTCATTTTTTATCACTATTGCAAAAATAGCCCGAAAAAATAATGATAAATTCAAAAATAAATAAAATTTATCATTTTCAAATTTCGAGAGGAAGAGAGGAAGATAATAAGATGAAATATCAATCATTTATTCATTCAAAGAAAGCTTAAAGTAATTTGTGGAAATTTTTGAAATGAAATGGATCTATGGAAAAAAGTGAATATGCCATTTATGAAGTGATAATTCAGAAATTTGCTTCAACTTTGATAAATCAAAATGATTGGAGATGTAAATTTAAGAAAGAGAATTTTAGAATTTTCGTTTCTAATTTGAACGAAAAAAGAAAGAGATATAAAAGTTAAAATTTTAAATTTCAAATGTATTTTCACTCTACCTTCGAAATATCTTAAAAAACATATTAATTAATTAATTTTTATTTGAATAAGAAATGGGAAAAAAAAGGAGAGATACGAACTATAACAAACCTTAGCAAAAAATAGCTGTATCGCTGCCGGATTCCAATATTTCATTTCCAAATTGTAATTCCGCGTATAATTATATGGTGCATAGAAAACTTGTCCAGCTGGTCCACACCATACTTCAAATTCCGGATAATTAAAATCCGAATAGAGTTGTTGTTTTTCCATATCTTGCTGATCAAAAAAAATAACAACCAGGTAGAAGATATTTGATTAATTGTTGAAACATTGAAATTACATAAAATTAATTGGACAAACAAAATAAGCTATGCTGAAATATTTAAACTAAACATAATCCAATTACATATCTCTTGTCTTATTGTCTATTTTTTATCCATATATAGATATAGATATACAAATATGTTAAGATACATATACACACATACACACATACTTGTGAAATTTATTTATTATTTGAAAGGCTGAATGAAGCGAATGAAGTAGAAGAAGCCATGTGGACAGCTATTTTTCAAATTGTTTTCTTATCTAAAGTGAATGTCAGCTACACTAAACTCAGCTACACTAAACTTCTCAGCTACACTAAACTATAAAAGCTTCACATGAATGTGTATTTATCAATGTAATCAGTAATCAGTGAATGAAAATAAAGGAGAAGATAAAGAAGAAATCAAAACAACAATTATTCCGTAAATTTTGTTAAAATTTAAAAAACGGATTTTTGTTTTATGTTTCATATTTGGGGTAATTTTTAAAGCTATGTTATAAAGAATTTTTAAAAAATGATAAATTTAAAAAGGAAAAAATAAAACTTATCATGTGATTGGTGATAAAATATAATCCATTAAATTATGAATATAATTAATTATTGATTAATTATTCCATTTTTTAAACTATCCAGCATTAAATAAATGGATGCACTATTTTCACCTTCATTTAATGAGTTATGTGATGCAAGAATGATTTTAGGTGTAGTGGCACGTCTGCATCAAACAGTTCATCCGGGTTTGACTTATTCAGTTCGCATGATAAAACAAATGG